TATTTAAGCTCGTCAGATTTTTCAAGAAATCTGTATTAACGTCGTAACATATCATTCTCAAACACTTTCACCATTAGGTCCCTGAACTCCCCTACAAAACTGGGTTTGAAATTTATCCTATATAAAAAAAAACTGGTAACGTTTTTGTGTCTCATCATGCCTATACCCCAATCCTACAGGCCTTGGGATATACAACCAGGTCTACACAGGCGATTACACGTCGTAGCCTAGCTGCCGACGGTCTCACTCAACTGCAGCGTATCTTACACCTGGTGTCATTAAACAGAAAATGCTAAGAGAGAGGAACTTACCAAGTCGATTTCTACCGTTACTCGTATTCATTTTTCATATTTGAAGAAAATGATTGTTAGAAAAAAACAATAAATTCGGGCAAACCATAAATGGGCATTTGAGAATATATAGTTATTGGATGCGAAGCAGCCAATAACGGAAAGTAATTTCATTATCTGGCTGTGAAATTTAATATGTCAGCTTCTGGGGCCCGAAGGGGCCCAGAAATGATACATATTAAATTCACTGCCAGATAAACAAGTTATTGGCTGCGTAGCATACAATAACGGTATTATCCGGTGGTTTACGACGATTGTGCTTGCCAAACGACTCGAGTTTTTGGTAGTGATTATGTAAGCTGCCAAATAACGAAGTTATTTGGCAGATGACATAATCACTGCCAAATAACTCGAGTTATTTGGCAAGCACTATCATAGTAAGCTGCCGGATAATCTTGAGTTACGTACAAGAATTAACATCCCTTGTTTGTCAGATATAGGATAACTTTCTCGCGATTGATCGATCACATGAAATTTGTCTCTCATGACGGGTGTTACAAATAAAAAAAAAAAAAAAAAACAAAGAAAAAAACGAAGAAAATCAACTATGGGGTTATCTGTCTCTTCCGCAAATGTGCAATGGTCTACCTACTAAAAGTGCAGTCGATCAACCCGTGACATTCGAGACAAAAGGCTGCTCCGATACTTTCGTATCGGGCAGCTACATTAAGGGCGTTCCCCAAAAAATCCCGCGCGGGAAGCGCACATCACGCGTGTGATTCTCGGGATAATAGAACTATGTTTCAAATGTCTCTTATTTCGGAATATTTCGGAATGCCGGTCAAATTTATCGGCAGTACATTACGTATCCCGCGCGGGATCCAAAAAAATCCCGCGGATCATGCGCGTTGCCCATCACCAACTGGGATCATTTAGGTCATTTTAGTTATTAATAAGAAACTTAAAGTATCGGAATAGTCACTTGGTCTCAAATCATTAAATGATGGGAGTCATTTAAAATCTCGAAGAACTAAATCCAGATAGTACTAGATCTTGACACTTGAAATCTCGAAAAAACAATATTCCGACAATTCATTAACCGAAAAAAAAAACCCCCCGAATAATTATAATCCCGAATCAGTGTTGGTATTTGGACTATGTCCAATAAAAATTTATTTGGACTTGAACAAATATGGGAATATTTCGGACATTATCCTAATTTTGGCCTCGACCTTTTTTTTATTCTATCCGGAATATTTTGGAATAGCAAGCTCACATAGTTGATTTGGACTAAATTGCCTTATGTCCAATAGAAAAATATGGACAATATAGACATAGTCCATGTCCATATTTTGCCGGACTGATCACAATCTCGTAAATGCATCATCACGAATGTAAAAATCTGGAATAATAAAATCACAAGAACTACCATAAATAAAAAATGATATTTATGTTGTACGTCAACTTGAAACTTGCATCAGATCGAAATTTCAATATTGAATTTCGTTAGGGTGAAACCCTATGTTATTAAGGTAAGGGCAGGTATTACGTAGCGGCATTATGATCTGGTGCATGATGTAACATTTATGTATATTCAGAATTATTATATTTGGGTCAGCGAATTACAGGATCATTATATTAGGGATTATGTATTTACGGGACTATGATTATTCGGGATTATAATTATTCGGATTTTTTCTTTTCAGGATTTAGCTTTCGAGATTTCGAGTGTCGGGGTCTAGTTCTTCGGGATTTCGTACCAAATCTTTAAATGATTACCAGGATATTTAGGTCATTAAGGTCATTTTAATCATTGCGCATGAAATAATCTTACTGATCAACAGATAATACCAAAGGATTATCAAACATTATTTACTTTCCTAATCAATAGTCATAGCTTAAATTTTTCGGGATAATAAATTGCACATATCCACATATCCTGAAAGTTTCATATAATATATGTAGTTCATCATTGATTATATTTTTTTCCAGTATTTCTCTAATTCAGTTGTGGGTTACATTTGGTGGAGTTCATCTGTTACATATAAATTAATTATTTGATGGCCAATTCTGATTAGTTAAACGTATTAGAATGCTAATTAACATACGTACGTACGTTAAATGACTTTCTAACTGCTTGTCATTTGGGTCATTTCGGGTTATCTCATTTATTGATTTATGTTAATTCAGAATCGACATGTATCATTTATGAATCAATAAATAATATATATTATTTTAAAATCAGTATGAGTTTTACTAATTAATTAGAAAATACTAATAATCCGGTGATAAAAAAAAAAAAATTAAATGCCAAAAAACAAAAATACAAACATTATTTTTAATTAAAAAAAAAGTATCAAAAATAAAAGCTAAGTATGCTTTTTGAAAAAATAATTTTTAATATATTAGCAATTAATGTCATCTTGAAAATAATAAATTATTTCTAAATAAGCATTAATGTTATGTATAAAAAACAAAAGCTATTTATTGCTATTTAACTTGAAATTTTAAGATTGTGGCTTTTTTTAAACACTTGTTTGCAATACTTTTACGGAGCATTTACCTTATTGATCAGAATATAGATGTTGTAAGGAGGAGAAGTTCGGATTCCACTTTGATTAGAACGGAATAATTATCTAACCTTAAAAATTCCGGATCAACTTGAATTCTTACGAAATATATATACACATGATGTTTGTCACGTGATCACGAATTAGCTTAAATATTATATATATAGTTTTAAAACATAATCTAATATACTATACAGCGATCGATAATATGTCGTTTTATTTAAGTGACGCCAAGGGAAAAGGGAACATTCGTTCTTATTGATTATTTATCTGATGGTCGACAACAAATCAGGCTTTCACTAAGACGACAATTTCGGAGGTTAGTTTATCATAATTGAAAGCCCGATGTGTTGTCGATCATCAATAAAAACGAATGTTCCCTTTTCTCTTGGCGGTACTCATTTTATATTAAAAGTTTGTAAACAAAAATTACAGTATCAACATAGTGTATTACATAATTACGTACAAAGTAATCTTGTGTGCATATAAAATATGACGAATAACATAAACATGTACCTAAACTATTCCCTAATAAGATAGTGATCATCTGATTTCTAAAAGCCCTTAGCGTTAGTGTTAACGTTCCGCTAAATCGATAGATTTAATTAATGTTAAACGTTAACGTTAACAGCTAAACGTTGTTAATCTAATTAATCTAATTAGTACGTAAAAATATAACGAAGATAATATTGATAATGATTATATCCAATACTTACTAAACCTAATAAAGACTTTATAAATCCATATATATATAGGCAGAGACGCATGTTTATTTGGCGAAAAAAAAAAATTTTAAAGGTTATCAGTTATCAGTTATCGATATATGTACGTACGTACGTGCGTAAACCGATGTCTCCGAGTTACGCAAGGTTACATCTGAAACTAGGAGTCTTTAAAAAAAAATAATAGCGATAGTGTTAACAACATATCTGATATATGTCATGTAGGTACCAATCGAGCTACCAGTGAATGTAAATATTGACACAATAACTACATTGTAAAAGTGCATCAACAAACCTGCCCTTATTTGTATAATTTTAGTCAAGTGTACGAAAAATATTTGAGTATTTTTGATACCCAGGATTAAAACGCCAAAAGTAGGATTGTGCAGTACGTTTCTGCACGAAATTTAGGCGCTAAGCTAAGATCGGTATCCTTTTATATCTATATTATTAATACAAAAGATGTAAACCTATCAATATAAAATGAAATTACCCAATGGAACATACCGCAAGAGATTTAACGGGCTTTAATAAATACAAAGTCCTGCATCGTTGGTTACGCCGTTATTGATTTTTTGGTTCCTTTCGTACGGGGATAAGGAAAGATTTAGGTTATCACCGCTAAGAATTCACCGGATCGGGTAATTGTAGTTTATGCGTTAAAGTTTGTTCCGTATCATCTGTGCGATACAAAATTGAGATTGACAAGAAAGAATTAAGTAAAGGATGATGCACACTTTCTCATCTGTCACGCGGTAAAGTTTACTTCCATCAAAAGCAAAGTATCTGTTGATAAGATGTTAAATAGAATTTATGCAAAGCAATATCTGTATAATCTACCTTTTAATATGAGTTTAGCATCAACTTTTTAAGCGATGTTTATTATTGTACAATGTTGAATTTTTATTTATATAATATGTATATTAGTAACCCTATTGTATATCTATTATAATGTGCTGATCATTATTCATTATATTTTAACAATAGCCACTTAATTTTTTTTGTTTGTTCTTTTTTACTTGTGCTTCGTTTGGAAGCAACAACTAAAAGCAAGAACGAAAATTTTCCAATTTTCATACAATTAATATTTGTCTTGAATATATTTATACTGTTCAATAATATTCATTATTACGAATTTTTAGCATCCTTTATAATTTGTAAGTATTGTATTCATTCAATCAAGAAATACGTCGCGTTTTCTTTCCATCTGCAAAAGTATTTGCATTACTACTTTGACAACTGTGGTGCTGACTTGTGCATAAAAGCACTGCATGTAGTATATACTATTATTCTATTATTGGTTCTTTTTAAAGCCGTTGTATTTCCTTCCATGAAAACGCGCTTTCTCTATACTTTTGTACTTATTTGAGACATTATAACTTTATTTCCTGTTTTTCTTAGAAAATAAGCTTTGAGTAATGGCCACTGCTGTGCAATCTATGCCGAATCATTCGGAAGAAACCGAGGTTGTTGAATACACTGAAACTACCACTACTGTTGAGGTTGTACAATTGAAGGTGGATGAAGTGGATGAGGCTGTTAGTGAAAAGGAAAAGAAGTCCCTCGCCGGTGTAACTTCGGACCATAATGAACATGCTGATGCTGAAAAGACCGCGGAAAAAGCTGAGAACGTTAATGAACACGCGGAAAAGCATACCGAACATACTTTACTAGCGGAAAATCAGCTTGTTGACCATCCTGAAGAATTTGATTCAAAATCGAACAAGGATACGAAAGGTTCGAATGGTTTGGACCAGACAGCTGATCCATTGACCCCTCCAAAAAGTCCCGTAGATGAAAAAGATAAATCTGATAAAAAAGTTGCGAGCTCCAAAATAGCTACGACTGGTAACAAAACGGTCAAAACTGCTGTGTCAGCATCTAAACCTGGTACAATTAAGAAAACACCTACTGCAAATTCGACTAGTGCCAAACCTCGTGCACGCAGTCCATCAGTTAGCAAAGCAAACCCTTCTACGTTATCAAAACCTCCGGCAACACGTACTCCTAGTACTTCCAGCGCGACAAGGGCCCCGATCACCACTAAACAACCAAGTAGCCCTACTGTATTAAAAACGCCAAGTATTTCGTCCAAGTCTGGTGCTAACGTTCCGGCGAAGAACGCTGCTCAAAAAACTGCTGCTGTTAAAACACCTACCACTACCACTGCTGCGGCAAAAGCAACTGTTACATCTCCGAAAACCCCTACTCGGAAAGCTACTACCGTCACTACTGCCGCTCCAAAAAAAACACCCGCTGCTGTTCCTACTACCCCTCCTGGCAAGGTAGCTATTGGTTCCACTCCCGCTTCAAAGAATAAAGTTGCTCCATCGGCCAATCATACAGCATCTAAAAGTACTGGTTCGGCCGCAGACAATAGTTACAAAGAAAAGGTTGGTTTGATGATTGATATATATTTATGATATTTGACTATGTTTTAATAAATTAATTTTTCACTTTTTTATTTCTTATTATCAGAATGAAGAGCTCACAAAATTAATTGAAGAAAAAGATAAGATATTGAAATCTTGTCAAGATGAATTGGAAGAACTAAAAGCTCAACTAGCGAAAAAAAATGAGATTAATGAGTCTGTTGAGCGAGATGCACACAACTTGGAAGAATTGAAAAAAGCTCATGAAGAGGAAACTCAAAAAATTCAAAAAGAAAAAGATGAAGCCATATTATCAAAAGAAAAGGAGATAGAAGATCTTAAGAAAGAAATTGAATGTTTGAAGGAGGTATGTTGTTATTTTATTTCAATAATTCTATTTATATGGCATTTGAATTTAAATAATTGCATGCATGCTAGGATCTTGCAAAATTCCAAGAAGAAGGAAATAATGAGAGAATTTCCCGTGAAGAGCACGCTAAAATTCTCGATCAAGTTAAAGATGAGCACGCTAAAGTTATCGATCAAGTTAATGATAAACACCTAAAAGAAATTGCTGAATTTAAAGATAAATACGAAAAAGAAGTTTCTGAAGTTAAAGATAAACACGAAAAAGAAATTGCTGAAGTTAAAGATAAACATGAAAAAGAAATTTCTGAATTAGCTGAGAAAGTTAAAGATGAATTTAATGATAAACACGAAAAAGAGATTGCTGAAGTTAAAGATAAACATGAAAAAGAAATTGCTGAAGTTAAAGATAAACACGAAAAAGAAATTGCTGAATTGGTTGAGAAAGCTAAAGATGGTGAAAAGGCTGCTGAAGAACTTGAGGTTAGTATAATTGTTTGATTACCTTTCAAATAACTGTAATGTCCATTATTCTCATGTTCCTTTTTTTAAAAAAAAGTCTGTCAAAAATAACCTTGAAGAAATAAAAATGGTAAGCTTTTAGTGATGCACATTAAAATTTCTTTAATAAACATATCAGATAACTAATCCGTTTTGGGTTTTCTTAATGTAAGTCTACACAAGGAGAAACTGTTGTTGCTTACGAAACAATGAAAGTAAAATATCTCGATGAAATTGCTGAACTCAAGGATTCTCATACTAAGGAATTGAAAAGCATTGAATCTGCACATGAAATAGAGATTGAGAAAGCAAAGAATGAAGTCCAGGTATAGAAGCATCATATTGAATTTATTATTTGCGTTAAATGTTAAAGAAATATTTATATATATATACATTGATATCAGGAAGCTCTTATGATCCAACATAATGAAGAAATTGAGAAGCTTGAACAAACACATGATAAAGAATTAAATTCAATTAGACTCAATCTTGAAACCAAAAATGACGCAGCCGTTCAAGAACTCTCAGCCCTTAGGTCTCAGCATTCTCAAGCAATAGAAGACCTTAAATCACAGCACTCTCGAGAAATAGAAGAACTTAAATCCCATCATACCCAAGAAATTGAAACTCTAAAGGCATCAGCTGATGAAGGCCTTGTACAAAAATATGAAACTCAATTATCAACCTTACAAAGTTTGGCACAAAAGAGAGAATCCGAATTAGAAGAATTAAAAGGAATCCATGTTTCCACGGTAGAGAAATTGAAGACCGATTATGAAGCTCAGTTCGAAGCATTAAGGGTTGAAATTGAAAAAACTCAAGACTCCCCTTCAACAGGCATTGAGGAATTAAAAGTTCATCATGCTCATGAACTTGATGACCTGAAATCTACCCATGCAAAGGAAATTGAAGAATTGAAAATTCAATACGAAGAAAAACAAAAAAAATTGGAAGATGAGCATTCCCGATCCCTCAATGACCTTCGAGAGACTCATAGCAAGGATATGCAAGAAATCATCACAAATCTTGAAAAAGAAGTAAAAAATAAGGAGGAAATTTTAACGATGGAAAATGAAACGCTTAAAAAGGAAAATAAGGAATTGTCAGAAAAGGTTGAACTTTCAAAACAAAATGTTGATTCTCATACTTCAACATTAGAAGTTAGTTATCGTAATAGTTTTATTATTATCACTATACCAACAATGTTAATTTGCTTGTATTTATATGTTAATAAACGCTAATTATGTTTGAAACAAATAATTGCGTTGTGCTCTCTAGGTGTTGAAACAAGAAAATCAAAAGGAAATAGAGCAACGTACCGCATTACAAACTTCTTTAGATGAGAAAAATCGTGAGAACGAAGAGATGAACATACAAGTTACTACATTCAAACAGAAAATCAAGGAATACGAAGAACAAATTGAAGTACGTACTTGTTGATCAGCTAGACTTGAATGACTTTCATTATTCATTATTTCTATTACAGGAATTCAATGGACATATTACTTCGTTGCATGAAAGTAATCAGAGTTGTGAGAAGGTATAATAATAATATCAAATTCCTTAAGATAGTAGTGCATTGTCAAATTTATTGTATTTCGCTCTCCTTATTTAAAATTAGTTTTACAATGAAGAAATAACGAAGATTAAAGAGTCATATGAAAAAAGAATTGCTGAATATGAAGCTGAACAGCTAAAGGACGCGGTAAGTTCTTTGTTATCAATGAAAACACATATAACATTTATTGTATCTGTGCATCTGAATAATCTTGGTTATATTCTTAAAGAGCGCATCAAAAGAAGGATCCACTGAAGCACTACAACACGAGTACAATCAAAAGATTGATGAACTCGAATTGGCACATGCTCGTGAAGTTAAAGAAAAGACAGATGAACTCGAATTACTCAAAGAAAAGATTGATGAACTCGAATTGGCACATGCTCGTGAACTTAAAGAAAAGGTTGATGAACTTGAATTGGCACATGCTCGTGAACTTGCGGAAAAAGAGGAAGAGGTAAAGACTAAAGCTATGGAAAATAAATGGCTTGAAGACGAAAATGATCAACATGATGTATGTACAATTTATAAAAGTGAGATTCAATAAATGTTAGTCACTAATAAATGCTATTTTCTTTACTATTTCTCAGGCAAAGGCTAAATCATTGAATAAAGAGTTAGATGTGCTTCGTAAAGAAAACGAACAATTGAAAGATGAAAATACTCGGATGCTTGAGTTGATTCATAAGTATCAAGAACAACTACTTCCTAAAAATTAATGTTTTGAGTTCTATCGATCCGATTATATATTATCCAAATCTAATCTCTTAATCCATCTTAAGACTTTTATAACTTGCTTTATTTGCTTTTGATGCCTGTAGTATATTTACATTACTTACCACATACTGATCCATTATAATTCACATTTTTTTATATTTCCTTATTTCATCTTTTTTCATAATCGAATTAAGTCTATAATTTATATAATATTTATTACTAATTTTTAAGAATAATTATTATTCATGTTGATGAGTGTTAGCAAGTTGGGATTTATTTGTAGAAAAATAAGAAAGTAAGGGAGAATTGAACTTTAATAGCAATCGAATTATGATGGATTTATTTATAATTAAATTCAATAAATATATAAGAATTTTTATATTTTATACGAGATAAAACCTTTTTTATTGGAGCTCTGGATAATCCTAATTATTCGGACAAAATTTAGTTTGATAATAAATTTTTATGTGAAAAGTATATATGCCAAATTACGGGGTTCGCAGCTTACCCTGGAGCAAAGTTGGCAAATGGAGCCAATGGAACTCGATAGTTACGCGAATGGAACTGAAAAAACTAGTATCCATTGGTTCCATTCAAAGCTCCATTTGGCTCCAATGAGTTCCATTGCCAACATTGCTCTGGAGCACTCCGAAGTAGAACTCAACCCAGGTCCTAGGCTGAAGTGGGCTTAAATTGTTTTTAAATTCAGAGTAGTTAGAGAACTCCGAGTTAAATGTTGAAGTGGTGTCGGTTGAAATAGGCCATCCCAACCCAATAACTGCAAAACCTTTTAAGTTAGAAATAATGCATGGTTTTTAAAAAGCTTGTTTAAATATAAAAAATTACGATAATCTGAAATTTTGCATATAACAGTAAAATTTTGACCAAAATTATTAATATCATGGCCTGAATTAAGCTTAATTTAGGCCGAAATTCAAAATTACGCCTTTGTGCGCAACACTATATATATATATATTTATAAGTAAATCTAAAAGATAACGGAGCCAATAGTAAAATTCACAAAACTTTCTTATATCGAGAGTTTATAATAACTTTTATATCGAGTGAATTTATTATAGACTGGTTTTGGCTAACTTTCTTATATTAGTCTTTTAAAATATCGAGTTTCTTATATCTGTATATCGAGGATCACTTGTATATTACGTATAATTTTCCAAAATTTCATATAAATTTTTGCATATTAGGCCATACAAAGTTAATTTTTTTTGGTTCTCATAACATAAAATTTTAAAAATAACCCGGAAACCCGGCTTTAAATTTTATTTTCAAAAAACTTTATTACAAAAAACATATTTGTAGCCATAGGCTTCATGTAGCCTTTTATAAAAAATTTTGCAGCTATATATATATTAATATTAGGGTTAGGTTAGAAATTGCGAGAGGAGCATTTTTACTTAGTTACACAACAGGTAAAATTTTGAGTTACGTATGTAAAATTTTCCAATTTTTTTTTATAGACATCTAAAAAAGTCCACCGGGTAGTAAATATAGGCAGAATTTGACCCGGCCGGGTTATGAGTTAGAATTTATAAAAATTTGGTTCTTTTTCAATTAATAATTTTTGTCGTAATAGCGAGCATGGGTGTTATTGCGATTTTTGGCCCGAATTAAGCTTAATTCTGGTCAAAAATCGAAATAATGCCTATGCCCGCCATTTCGAAAATTTACAGTATTTTATAAAAGAATAAATCTATTCGTAACAACCTATTATACGCTTATTTGTAACAGTACTCAAAATTTTACTGATAATCTCTTTTGCACTACTAATAAAAAATAATCCTCTTATAATTTTGTATTAATTTTATACTAACTTTAAATTCAACCTAACACTAACCTAACACTAACTCTAACTCTAACATTAACAGGCTGTTACAAATAAATTTTTTTTTATAAAAAATATTACTATAAACTGCTATATACAAGACCCATAGGTATGTGGGTTTGATAATTGAAGGTTTATTCTATTTTATTATTTTTTTCTATTTGTATATTCTGTAGTATTTTTATAAACCCAAACTGAGGCCAGATTTTAGACAAATCCAAGTTCAATTTGAAATTTGAACTTAGACTTCAACTATTTTTAAAGCATAGTCTGATTTAGGTTTGAATATCAAACTTTTGGCTTGGTTTGAGTTTAGTTTAAGTTTGATTTGAAAGTTTGCAAACATGTTTAAAAGTCCAAAATCTAGTTAAGCTTATTGAAAAAAAATCTTTTTGTATAAATATCTAAATTTTTAAATAATAAATCAGTTTTGATTAATTTATTGACAATTAATTCACAAACAGAATTTATTTTACAAATAATTAATTCAAAGACAAGTTAATTTTATAGTTTTTTTAAATATGTATTCTAACAACAACATTAGCGAATTTAATAGGATATAATATTACGTAATAAATTAGATCTATAAAAAATGCATAATATAATGTAAGATATTTCAAAAACTTGCAAAATATTAAATTACAAAATATTATACAATATTATGTTAAATATTTCAAAATATTTTTAAATAAAAAGCATAATATTACGACAAATTTATAAATAGTAAATTAAATCGTATTAGATTGCAACTAACTAAAGATAATTAAAATAAATAAATTTATTAAATATAGCTAAATGTGTATTAGAATATTTTGATATAAAATAATTCAAAACATTTTAAAAACTAGTGAATAGAATCGAAACTTATTTAAAAAAATTGTAAATTTTAATAATAAAAAATATTCAGTATATTATTCCAGTTATAATAGTAGTTAAATTATCAAAATTGGTTTAATATTCGCCAAGATAGCTTAATCAAAATTTATATATAATATTTTAAATATTTTAATATAAAATAATCAAACCATTGTAAAAAAAAGTGAATAGGTGCGAAATTTATCTAAAAAAATTTGTAACTTTTAATAATAAATAATATTCAGCATGTTATTTCAGTTATAATGATAGTTAAATTGTCAAATTTGGTTCAATATTTGCTAAGATAGCTTAATCAAAATTTATATATAAAAAAATTAAATCATTGTAAAAAAAAGCGAATAGATGTGAAATTTATTTAAAAAAATTTGTAACTTTTGATAATAAATAATATTCAGCAGGTTATTTTAGTTATAATGGTAGTTAAATCATCAAAATTAGTTCAATATTTGCCAAGATAGTTTAATTTAAATCTATATAAATTTAAATAGATTGCAATAGTGTGCACTATTGCAGTCATACAACCTATATGGGAGTCTATGACGAAACATGGCAGAGGCGCAGGTTTCGGGTTACTGGATTGTAACAGTAATTAAATGAAGTACTTAACTTCTGTTCAAAAGATCCAGACCTCCGTATCATCATACCAATAGGAAGTACTATAGAAGGATCGGTAGCCTAATCTAGTGGTGTATAATATTAATGCTTGAGAATCGTGAAATAACATCCTGGTTGCGGCAGCAGATCCTGTACCTGGCTTGAAATACGAACTAGGCTCTTAGAGTAATATCCCGAGGATACTAAACTGGAAGCATTAAGAGTGTCTACTCGAGAGATACCAATTTGGAAGTGGTACAAGAAACGAATTAAGAAAAATGTAATAAATACTGAGAGGTAGAAGTTGGCTAGTAGACATTGTACAGTAATATATAAGCAGGATATATATGATAATATAGGTTTGGGAACTATCCGATGATTTAGTAATTGGTCTGGTTAAAAGGGACGGTTACTAAAGAGGTAAAATCTTATATAGCAGGTTGCACATAGATACAGGACCCCAGACATTTTCAATATAGGTCATAACTGATCTGCATGAATTTTGGTGTTTTTGCTACCTCTAAATTCAAATAAATTTGCTAAAAATTCAATTATTACATATAAATTTTATAGTAATTTGCTAAAAATTAAATTATCACATCTATTTTTAATAAATATAAAATTAAATATGCTGGAATAATGTATTTTTGTGTGCTGAACAAGTTTACCTAGAGTATAAAGTTAGAATTAATTAGTAAATTTTGAGAATTATAGTATTTTTAGTATTTTTATTAATAAAATTATGCAAAACATTAAGATTCTCAAAATTTTACTAATTGATTATAACTTTATACTCTAATAAAACTGTTCAGCACACAAAAATACATTATTCCAGCATATTATATCCTGAAAATTTAAGAAAAGATACTTAATTTTGAATATTTTGATCAAAATATCCAAAATTAAGCATCTTTTATTAAAGTTTTATGAAAAATAAAATTAAATATACCAGCATAATGTATTTTTGTGTGCTGAATAAGTTTACTTAAAGCATAAAGATAAAATCAATTAGTAAACTTCTGAGAATCATAGCATTTTATAGTATTTTTATTAATAAAATTATATAAAATATTAAAATTCTCAAAAATTTACTAATTGATTATAACTTTATGCTCTAATAAACCTTGCTTAGCACACAAAAATACATTATTCCAATATATTTAATTTTATATATCCTGAAAATTTAAAAGAAGATGCTTAATTTTAGATATTTTGATCAAAATATCCAAAATTAAGCATCTTCTCTTAAATTTTCAGAAAACATAAAATTAAATATACCAGAATAATGTATTTTTGTATGCTGAACAAACTTTGTTAGAGCATATAGTTAGAATGAATTAGTAAAATTTTGAGAATCTTAATATTTTATATAATTTTATTAATAAAAATACTAAAAAATGCTATGATTATCAAATTTTTACTAATTGATTCTAACTTTATGCTCTAAGTAAACTTGTTCAGCACACAAAATACATTATATTGGTATTTTTAATTTTATATTTCTTAAAAATTCAAGAAAAGATGCATAATCTTGGGAGTTTTGATCAAAAAATCAAAAATTAAACACCTTCTTTTGAATTTTGAAAAATCATAGTAGTTTAAAAAAAAGTAGCTTATTCTTGAGTATAATTTTTCCAAAATGTAGATAATTTGCTAAAAAATAAAATATAACATGTATAAAATTGGCGT